AGATGGTGGGATAGGTCTCAGTCTCAGAGGCCTACCGAACCTCCGTATCCTCCACCAGGAAGGGAACGGGCGTCATCATCATCACAGGACGATCTACCAAGATCGAGATCCAGGCAGCCAAAACCAAACGTGGTTGATAAAATAGGCATGTCCTTGGACGAGCTTCAAGAACTTGAAGATGAACAGTCACCGACACAGAGTGACATTGAGGAGCACGAGCGTGAAACATCAAACCTGATGGACGCGCAAAGAACAGAGGAAGAAGAAGAAGAAGAGGAATCCTCAAGCAGGAGGAGCAGGAAATCATCGCGTCCTCCTTCAGCACCAAGCGCCAAAGCAGCTAAAACATCTGCAATCGCAGCAGGTTTGTCCAGCTGGTTTGGTCATCAAAAACATGGGGGAGCGAACGCGGAATCTACAGAGACCGATCATTCCTCTCTGCCTGATTCACTACCAAGTGAACAAGAATACTCATTTATCAGCATTGCCTGGAATATTTTCCTCATGCTGATGGGACTTCGATGGATGTGGAAACAGCTGACAAGATCCCCTGTCCAGTGCATGGATCGTCAGGTTCCGAAGTCCAAGGCAAAGGCCAAGGCAAGTGCTCCCTTCCTCGAACCCGAGGACGAGCCTCCATGCAGAAATCTTCGTGGACCTAACCGAGTCAATGCAGGCGAAACCTCAGAACTGAGGCCGATATGGCACACTTCAAGAAGTGATTGTTATCACCTCTCAAGCAACTGTTACCAGCTGAGATCGGCCAGAGATCTATCAAGAAAAATTCTCTGCAAGACATGCCTGCATGCCGTAACAACGGCTGAGATAAGAAGAAATGATCTTTTCAACAGAGGTGATACACGACCACGTGGCACTGAACGAGACATTGAAAGACTTCAAGCCTACGAGTGCGCAAGCAGCATTCCTCACGTTAGAGCGATGTGGCAAGATGCACTGGCCCCTCAGATGGCAGACGAACAACTTGGTGTCACACACACCTCCTTTTCAAAGAGTTCTTTTGCAAGAGCCAGAGGTCAGTCAGCACTATCAAGTGCAGCATCATCCACACCCACTGCTGCACCGCCGGTGCCACCGAAGACCTCAATTACGTCACCTCCACCGAAAAATCCTCCGCCTAAGGCAAAGGCATCCTCTCAAGGATCTACGCCGATGACCTCAGCAAGACCAAAAGGTCAAACAAGACGAGGAGGTATGAACAAACGCATTCAGCGTAAGGCATTGAGAGAAGCCCATAACCAGGGGCTCTGCAATTACGTTGATACAGCACTCGATGAACCCAACAGGGTTCAGCTGTAAATCAAATGTGCAGAAACATCATGCTGAGACACATCGACTACATTGACACAACAGTCGACACGGCTGCAACCTTATGCTCCAACATATCGAAACCTTTGACGAGGAGGAACCTTTTAGCGCCGAGTTCGTCCGGGTCATCGTTACACTCCACCGGAGTCTCATGAATGGTGACAACTCCATTGTCATAAACGACAACATGACTGTCACCATGCCACTGGCAAAATATACTAACCTCCTTGATCTGACAGTTGCTCTGAAAACCTCTACCGAGAGGGACAGAAATGAAAGAAAGGAGCACATTGCAAAACACACTGATACTCTATCCAGAGTTTCAATTCTTGTTACCGCTTTGAGACAGGCTAAGTCAGTTTTCAACCAGATGGTACATTCATCTCTCGAAATCGAGAGAAAACATACCAACCTCAAGAACACACTTGAAGCTCTCTTTGATGATCAGAGTTCAGAGAGTGATCAAGAAGAAGAACAAGACGGACCACCGTCACCTTCTACCCATCGACACTGGGACAACATGCATGCAAATGCCCTGCCTCCATCCGGAGATGAATCTGAACGTTCATGGCCATCATCCGATGGACAGAACCACGGTAGAAGCAGGTCAGCAGCAAAATCAAGTTCCCAGGCAACCAGCTCACAAGCTGCGCCAAAAGCAGAACCAAGACCTGAAACCTCCGCACACGGAGATGATGGTATTGATGAAGCATTCAGAAGAGCAGAAAACAGAATGCTGGGCATCTTCTCTAGTGAAGAAGAAGAGGATCACTCCGATCCGGATGAACCTCATCCAAATGCCATCAGCAGGTCTTACGATCCAAACATGGATTATCAACGGAGGTAACTGCTCCTTAGACAAAGAACTCTATCAAGAGCTAAGTGAGCCATTGCATAATTCGATGTAGTAGTACACTCAGACTTGATCATGTACAGAAGATCTCTCTGACCAGACTTTTGCATGCAAGATTCAAAAGGAGTGTTCGGCAGTCGTTCTTGAATCATGGAATATCTAATATATCATCCTTTCAAATGAGTCCATACTCCGCTAGTCTTGAGTACAGTGAGCACTTTTAAATGTATACGTGTGAACACGCGGCCATGCTTACAGTAAAAGAAAATTAGTGTCTGTTTGTTTGCCTAAATACCCAAAGGGGTAGGTACTTTCAGCAATGGCATGGCTGTATGCTCACATGTATATATGTCCGCTGCTCGCTGGCTCAAGTGGTTTTACCGACTTGACACAAGCTCTCTCTGCGTAGCAGAACAAAACACTTGCTGTCCGTGTGCTGGGCGTTGCCTTAGATCCCACGGGACTTAAACTGGTCCTTCCACCCCTCCCCCCCTCCACCCCTCCACCCCTCCCCACCCCTCTGCCCCTCTGCCTCTCTGCTTCTCTGCCCCTCTGCCCCTCTGCCCCTCTGCCCCTCTGCCCCTCTCCCTCTCTCTCCCTCTCTCTCCCTCTCTCTCCCTCTCTCCCTCTCTCCCTCTCTCCCTCTCTCCCTCTCTCCCTCTCTCCACTCTCTCCCTCTCTCCCTCTCTCCCTCTCTCCCTCTCTCCCTCTCTCCCTCCCTCCCTCCCTCCCTCGCTCTCTATCTCTATCTCTCTCTCTCTCTCTCTCTCTTCTCTCTCTCTGTCTCTCTCTGTGTGTGTGTGTCTGAGTCGGGCCGATGGTGATGCCCGGCGTGGCGAGTCTACTGCAGTCACCATCGGATTGTTTTTGCTCGCAGCAGATCGTATAGTGGTGTCGTAGCATACGGAGTGTGGTTATGACGACATGCCGGCCAAGTTCCAGAAGAAGCTGAGCGATTCCCTTGGCGAAGTCAAAGATCTGGAGTCGCCCAGTGAGTCGACCCCAGTTCCCAAGGAGAAGAAGGCGGACAAGAACGCCACTCCAGCAAAGCGTCCGGCACAGAAGCGCGTGAAGAAGGATGTCAAAGAAGCGGAAGAAGAGGAGGCAGATGCCGCCAACAAGAAGGCGAAGCGTGCAAAGAAGGTAAAGGAAGGGCCTTACACCAGCTACAAGCAGGGCTCCATTCCGGAGCCCCAGCTGCAGAGACGAGACGACCTGCCCGAGGGGAAGGGGAAGACAGGATTGAACGTACTGTCCTGGAATGTTGGCAGCTTGAGGGCTTTCCTGAAAACGCGCATAGCAGACCTCCAGGAGGCAGTGAAACTGGCAGCCCCGCATGTGCTCGGGCTCATGGAGCACAAACTGCAACAGGGAGCGCCTGAGACGGAAACTGCTTTGGAGGAGCTCTCCAAAGCGCTTCCAAATTACCGCGTGGCATGCGTGAATTATTCAACGGTCAAGAAAGGCTACTCCGGAACGCTGGTCATGCTTCACACGGAGGCACCCGAGCCTATCAGCGTGCTGTCCGAAGACCTGCCGGCTGCCGCTGCCGAGGGCAGGATGGTTGTCTGCGAGTTCTCCTCCTTGTTTCTTGTGCTTTGCTACGTCCCGAACTCCGGCGATGGACTCAAGCGCTTAAAGGAGCGCGTAGAGAAATGGGACCCCCAACTGCGAGAACGCTTACACGCCCTCGCAGAGAAGAAGAGCGTTGTGCTAATGGGCGACTTGAATGTCGCTCACCAGGACAAGGACATCTGGAACATGGAGGCGCCCCATGTTCCAAAGAGCGCCGGGCTCACGCCGGAGGAGCGCCAGTCCTTCTCGACGTTGCTGGAGAGCGGTTTCAAGGCCGGGCATGGGCATGGCCATGAAGGCGGATAACATGCGGGTTCTTGGCTCTTTCTCGTCTCGAGGACGGCTTCGCTTTCCAACATCCGGAGGCTCTGCAGACGCATGTAACAGACCGCAGTGGTGATCTCCTCAGAGATCAGAACTTGTCGCTCAGGCTTTCGGCGCCTTCACATATTGGAGTGTGCGCGCCGGCAATCGAAAGACAAACCGAGGCCAGAAAGTCCAGATGCAAAGCGGAGGGTTGAGTGCTTCGGGCTTCAGGGCTTTTACTGGCGGGGCCTTGCAACAATCGGTGCTTCCAGGCCTCCGGTTGGACTATGTCTTGGTGTCTGATGCGATGACCTCCAGAGGTGAGGGTGAGGCCCGACACCCTACATTTGCCTTCCTTGTACTTCACCGCTGTCTACCGGTAGAGCTACTCGTAGAAGTCACAAGCCCCGAACCAGGATGGACCCGTGCTTTGGGATACTTTCCACTTGCCGGCGGTGGCAACAGGAGATCACTGTCCAGTTGGTGCGGTCATCGCCGTACCTGGCCCGCAAAATGCTTGCCTCGCATCAAAAACCGAACGGAGCGTGCAAGACAATTCAACAAATCTCAGGTATGAGGTGTGATGTCGGACACTTCAGCATTACGTCGGCTGCACGGCGAAAGCCTTCTCGGAGACGATCCAACACCCGATCTTGTCGAAGGCTGGTTTTCGTCTGCGAAGGTGATGCTGTTTCTAGCAGAACATGCAACAGAAGAGCTCGGTCAAGTCGAAGTCTGCGAGGAGCGTCGTGCACTGAGAGTGCCCACGAGAGGGCTCGGATGCGGGGCCGTATGTGTGTGCATACAACTCGGGAAGTTTCACAAGCATCGACGGAGCTGATGTGTTGTGCGCAAAGATGACCTTGCCAGGGTGGAGCATCCATTTGTGGCGTCATTTCATTGCTGGGTGCTGGTGGCAGCGCACCATCGTTACCGGCAGGACTCCTCGCTCTTCTTCGCGTCGATCAACAACGAGAGCTTTGGCTGCACAGCCTGCCTAGCATGAACATGAGAAGCCATGTACTATATCCGGACCTGCCTGAGAGCGAACGGTTATCATGACCGGCGGGCTTCTTTGGCTTCCTGAAGGCTAGGGATGACGAGCAAAGACGTCGAGGCTTTGTGCGATATCAACAGGCGCCGAGCACTGATTGAGTTGGGGACTGCTGAGAGTGTAAGGGAGAAAAAAGGGGGTGCCTTTCTGCGAGGTCTACGAAGCCAGCACAGGCCGGTCGGTCCCTTCCTGATTTGCCCTGATTTCTTAACCAGCCGAGCCCTTCTGCTCAGGCCGGAAAGATTGGGAAGAAGGGAGTTGGCCAAACCCTGATGTCGTAGCAGAACGCTAGGCTGAAGAGAGGCAGCGAAGCTTAAATCACAGCGACCAGGTTGGAAGGCAGTCTTCGCAGTCAGCGACCAGCCGACAGCACCACTCTCAGGCAGCAACATCGCTAGCTTGAGCCAGTCGCAAGATGGCGGCCAAGGTGCTCTCTGGACCATTTCGCTTTCGCTTTGATGTAGCTAGCCCGGACATGCACGATGCGAGTGGTCCTTCAGCGGAAAACGATGAACGATGGCCTTGCAGACTGTGCTTCAGGTGCGTGGCCGTGGCCGCTTGGGCTATGTCACGCCTGATGACCTTAGTTGCGAGCTCAGCCTGCTAGGTGCTTTCTGCAGCTACCAGCTGCTATATACTGCCAAGTCTTTTTGCATCAGGTGCGCAGGAACACTCCGTGCTGCCATCATTCCTCCAAGAGGCACTTCAGAGTCTTCTTGCTGTTCGTGCCGTGACGTGTCAGTGGAGGCCAGTTCTGCAGGGGCTCTTGGCTCAGACTGGACCTTGCGACTTCTAGGCCCAGTTAATGTGGCTCCGACTCTCTGCCAGGCCACGGTCCTGTACCTGCCTGAGAGTCTGAGAGCATTGCCGATCGCGGATTGAGAGTCTCGGAGTGGATGTTTTAGATCCTGGAGGTACCTGCCGCTCCGTGGTCGCCCTGCGACGGAAGACGGAGCGAGATCTTCTTCCGACTAGAGCCTTGCAATTGCTACAATGTTTGCCAGGAGCTGCTGCTGACATGGGAGATGGAGGTCGAACACTGTTCGTTTCATCCACAGCTGAAGATTGCATCCTCTGGCAGGCCTTGGGATTGCAGCTTTAATACGAAGCTCAATGGACAGACTGCTCATGTGCCACAGATCTGGGAAAGTTTGAGTGATGCAGATGTCATACTGGAGATGCTCTTGCTGCCTTGGAGTGCCACGTGCTTGTTATTTCTACAGATATTAGCTGTAGCTGTCTCGTGCAGGTATCCAGCGTGGCTGCTTTTTCTGCGCCAGCTGTGCCGCGTAGTGAGTGGACCCAGGTGGTTTGTGGTGGTTAGAGAACTATTGACTATAGATTATGCACAAGGGCCACACGAACAGACCTAATGATGCACAAGTTGATTTGCTGTGTCAAAAACGCATCAACGTTCCAAAGCTGGTGTGGCAGCAAAGAAACGTGCATCCATTGAACGTCGGACTCGGGGAATGTACAAAGTCCTCCCTGGTGGAGTGTGGGATGAACCGTCGGATTGCAAGGTGATAGTCCCTGCTCCGAATCCATCATCGCTGTGCCTGAGGCATGGGACGACGCCGTGTCTGCCAGGTGGGATGTGCGTGAGCTACTGCAATGACGAGCTGCGGTCTGTCTGCTTCAATCGTTCGCTCAGACCGCGGCATGTCTCCCTCGAAAGGCTGTGCCTCAGGGATGTCCTTGCTGGTTGCTGGCATGGGCAGACATTCATAGTGGGTCTGAGGCGCGGTGACTCCGTGTTTGTTCGGCAGATGGCGAACCAAGGCCACTTCTTCAAACGAGGATTTTGCACGTGTAAAGGCGTGTATGCGTGAAGCTTGGGCAGAGGTATGGCGGAGCCAGACGAGGCTCCGACAAAGCGAAAGCAGGGATCTCAGGGACCTGCTCCAGCTGCAGGAGTTCGCCTTTTTCGTTCACCGGAAAAGTGGCGTTGGCACCTCGGGCGAAGGGACAGGATTTGTGAGGCTGCACGAGGCTCCCCGCAAATCAGGGCAAAGCTTTAACTTAAGCGAGGCTGTGGTGACAAGAGCACAAGGGAACAGGTCTCGATTTTTTGTTGGTGCCACTGCTCTGACTCATGATGATGCCATGGGGCTTTTGGCATCAGCAAGACACGGCAAGCTGTGCTTCACATCGGCATTTCAAACGACAGGGCAGGTTGGCGCATATTTCGCAGCTTGTAGACGATATTGTGCAGCGACAGACTTGCATTGCACTGAGGTGGTGCCAGTCGATCTGCTCCCGGCCGGCGCAGAGCCGGGGAGTCGAACTGAGGAGGCACACGAGCCAAGCGGCGTTGGTGCAAACGGTTTCTGCCTGCCGTTGTGGTCTCCTGCAACTTCGTGGATGGAAGGTAGCCATCGCTTTTCAGCGTGCAGCAGTCTTCACCCCGGTAACAAATTGGACTGGGCGTGGTGCTAGGAGTGAGTTGCGATAATTGCAGGGCTCCGGTAGTGTTCAAAGCCATCTGAGGTGCAAGACCAAAGAGCAGAAGTATCTGAGAGCTACAGCCAAGCTGACAGGGAGTCAGCCCAAGCAGATCCAGTTTTCTGCTTTTTGCCAGTGCGACCCGTTGGTTTCCGATTTTCCTTGCACGCGCCGTGGTCATTAACATCGAACCGTGAGGATTTTCACTTGGAAGATCCGCGGAACGTTTGGCTGCGTGGGGTTGCAGCTGATGCTTTGGCTGAAGCGATCGCTCGATTTGGTAGCGAACCTGGGACGAACGTGCTCGCGCTGCTGGATGCTCGACGTGTGCTTGAGCCGTTTTGGAGACGTTTGCTTGAAGAGGCTGTGGAGCGAATTGGCGATGCACCGGTTGTAGCCGTCATTGGAGAGTCCAAGCTCTACAGACCGTCCGAGGTGTTGGTCCCAACACCTTCCTTGGTGCGTTGCGCTGCAGCGATGAGATTCATCCATGCTTTGCCGGCGGAGTCCTGGCCTGCAGCAACTGGCAAGCGGCTGGCCCGGTTGAGTGTCAATGAGGATGTGGCGGTGGAAGATGTTCGAAGATTGTTATCCCTCCATGCCGAGCCCGTCTCTGCACAAAAGATGCGGGTTCTGCTGAACAGTGACTCCGTCAAAGCTGAGCTGACCAAGCACTGCAGATCCAGGAATCCTCTTGGACTCGCCCAGCTTTGTGAGCTCTTGAGTGCCATGCTGGCTGCCACGCAGCGCGAGCCAGAGAAGTTGCCGACATTCTCCGAAGCAGGCGAGCTTCCAGGCCGCGGATGCAGTGCCCGAGCACGGGGCCTATAGTATAGAAAGGAAGCAACATGTGCCAGTGTGCCCCGGTGCAGGGGATGAAAGGCTCTTGGATGTGGTCGCAGAAATCCAGCAGATGCAGGCCTTGTGCATTGGCATTGAACCTCAGCTGCGAAGAAGGATGCGTTGCAGAGGTGCTGCCGTTGGCCACTGCAGGAGGTGTCCTTCCCTCAGTCGCCCTCTCGAACAATCCGTGCAAACACTCCTCAGCCAAATCGGATTTGATGTTCGGAGGCCCCTCAATTGACGAGTCTTTCGGAGGGAGATGTCCACTTGCCTGGCTCAGGCCGGTTGCGCAATCCCTTTCATGCTGTGGCGATTCCGTTTTGCTGCCGTTGATTGTCGGCAGGAACTTGGTGCCCTGGGCTCGACGAGGCAAAGTTGGCACGCAGGATCTGCTGGAAGGCCCACCGTAACCACCCATCTGCCGCAGGCTACTGCATCGACTCTTCTTGCACACAAAGACGTGCGAGCAGAGACCTTGGCGCCGCATCGCATGGTGCTTGACGTTTTGAGCACAACAGCCAAGCCAAGCGAAGTCCGCGCGAAGCCGAGATGACGTACATAACAGCAGGGCGCTGCGCAGTCAACGGATCTAATGCCCAGTCAGTCCTCGAGCGTCTCGTTGGCTCCGTCGGTCGCTCTGCACTTCCAAGCAGATCGGCTCCGCCAGCTTCATCGCTGAGGTCTTCGACAGTTTGTCGTGGCAGTCGCTGTCCAGCGGGGGCCAGAACTTCCTGCGACAGCCGCCTGGCCTCATCGGTGTCTTGTGTCCATTGTGTCCACTGTCCTGCACCTGGTCCCTCAAAATGCAGGCTGGGCGTGCGGCAGGCCTGGTGGCCCGGGGTCGCCTTTAAGGGCGCAGCCCTGACAAGGGTGTGAACATGTGTGAATGAAGTCTGAGTTCATCTGAGCTCCAGGGCAGAGTCCATGAAGATTCGTCATGATGACGTTTGCGCCGCAAGCTTTAGATGCATGTCGCAGCAGCGAGTGACCTCATGCACAAGTTGCAGTAGCGGCGGCGGACTTCACGCAATGGAGGGATACTGGTTGGAGGATGTGATTGACACGCACATACATCTGAGCCAGCACTATTCTGGAGGCCTTCCGAATACCTGGCACCCCAAGGTCGGACTGCACAAAAAGTCTTTAAAAGGTTCGGCAAGCATGTCTTTCGAGATAAGCCGGAAGAAACTGCCCTGAAAGCGACTAGGCAGCCAGGTAGCATCCATCCATGCATGCATGCCTCCATAAGCCCATCGCCTAAACCGCTTCTGTACATCCCTTCTGTATTCCTTTTTGTATCTTTGTTTTTCATTTAAACCCTTCTCGTGCTTCCCCCCAATCAACTGTAATGATTCAGGAGCACGCCAATGTACTGTAGTGATTCCGGAGCACTGCAAACAATGCTTCATATGTGCTGGCGGGAATACAATGCTTCAATCACCGAGAGGGTTGTCATTTCGAGTCCAACTTGAGGCGAATGTATTGGATCTCTCAATCGATCGTGCTGACTAGAGGAGGCGGACACGCCGGCAACACCGGAAGGGTTGTCAAACGGATCGTCGCGGCACTACGCGCGCAGCGTGATTTGGCTTGACCAAAATGTTGCTTCTCCCCAAACACTAGCGCACTGAAGGAGCACGGCCAAACTGCTTCCCCCATGTACTGCGGTTCTAAGACATGACACAGATGGTCACAGCGCAATTTCGCGCGAGCAAAATGTTGATGCCATGTTCCGGCTACCGGCGCGATTCAGATGGGTGCCCGGACACGGGCCAGGTGCACCGAGAGGGTTGTTGTGTCGAGACCAACGTGAATTCGAATTTGCAATGGGTCGCTTACCGGAGACGTGGCACGCCGCGACCATCGAGAGGGTTGCCAAGTGGGCACCAACGTGAGACCGGTGTCTCGAAATGTACAACAGATCGTGATCGGAGGAATCGTCAAGGCAGCACGCGTGCATCGCTGTTTTACGATGAGCGGCGACTGTCGCTAGCCATGGCCCTGCCACGTCCATTAAATCAAGGTTAGGGTAAGAAATAAGCGGCAACCTCCAACCAACCTCGCGAATACCCATACCATGCAGCCTCACGACCTCAGAAACGGCCTCACATCAACGGCATCATGCAACCACTAGACCGAAAAACCCTTCGCAACACCTTCGGAAACAACCCGGACCCGGACCAGAGGAAGCGAAGGGCTTTCGGCGGGACTGGACCGTTGAGGATTTTCGGAAATGCACGGAAATGGGACGCTTTCGCGTCTCTGCTGCCATCTTCGTGGAGTGCTCGAATCAGCCTGCGCTCGAGGAAGCGAAGTGGATATTGCGGCTTATGGAGGAAGCGGACTGCCCCATCGTGGGACTGATTGCCAACATCTGCGTGCAGAAAGGAGCCCCGGAGGTGCAGGAATACTTGGACCGGCTACGTGATGCCAACGGCATGCTTCCGAAGGGGTTGAAAGGAGCGCGATGCGTGTGCATGATGTGGGAAAATCAGGCAGATGACGCTTGCTTGGATGCTCGGTTTTTGGAAGGGCTGGAGTGCCTTGGCAGGTTTGGTTTGGTCTGGGAGTTCTGCTGTGAGCCCCGAATGGCTCCTTACCTCTCGGCCTGCATCGCACGGTTTCCAGATATGGTGTTTGTCATTGACCACTTGGCTCACAATGGAAATCGGGGCGGTGAGATGGAGGTTTGGGGCCCGGCGATGGACAGCCTTGGCAAGTTGAAGAACGTCTATGTGAAGCTGGGGGCCTCCGAACAGTGGGACGTGCCCAATCCTGCAGACTTCCTGGATCGGGCGGTTAAAGCCTTTGGCTTTGACCGTCTGCTCTACGAGTCTAACTGGTTTGTAAACGAGGCCATGGGAGATTCCTACGACAAGACCGCAGGCCTTGTGTATGATGCGTGTGTGCGAGCACGTGCTACAAAGGCGGAACTGCGCAAGGTGTTCCATGACAACGCATGCAAAGCGTGACTTGGCTCTCACAAACTTCGTGTCTTTATTCCTTTCGAAAATAGTTGTTCAAATTGTTCCAGATCGAGCTTCCTGAAGGTACCAGCTCGACGCGTGAGGCTCCTGTGCTTGGGGCATCGATGTGGCTCTCGAGCTACGGAAGCCCCTGCTGGCTTCCCGTCTGGGGGCAAGGAACTGTTTACAGACTGCTTCCTGGAAAACTGGAACGTCGCAAGGGTGCCTACACATGTCCTGGCCTTGGCCAGCCCCAAACATTCGATTGCTTTCGGAGGCGATGCTCTCGGAGGTGGCTGCTGCCATCGTACGTGACTTGGCTGCCTTGCATAGAGATAGGAGGGTTTTTGCAAGAGAGAGGATTTAAGCAGAAGATCAGCATTGGTGAGATTGGTGGTTGATGATGAAAACAATGACATAAGGACAGATAGCATAAAGGCGGGACACGACTCCGCAACTCCGCATGGCGCCCCCACATGCTCCTGTTGAACCGGGCGTGTGTTTGCTCAGCACATGTTCTTTTGGTGGCGGTTTGTGGGTTTCAAGAAAGGTTCCCGTGCTTGGTTTAGGCTTTCTGGGTTTGCAATAGTGCTGTGACTTCGGTGGTCGAAGTGAGGATCTCTCATGGACTTTGGGGACTAGATCTTGTTTTTCGACCTCATGCCTTCTCCAGAGGGATGTCAGCCATCTGCAACAACGAAAAGATTTTTCATCGAACACCTTCCCAAGCTTTAGTGTCCTAAGTTCTTATGCCCAAACGCTATGACGGCTTAATTTCTGGGAGCTCTAGTATGGCAGGCTTCATGATCTTCAGGGAGGGAAGGATAGTTTTGGAAGTTTGGGAGTCCTCAAAACGGTTCCGGAATATGACAACACTCCCGACTGCTTGAATCCAGCCCTCGTCAGTCGCCGCTTTTTCTGAACTCCCGTTCATTTCAAAACCGATCCCAGCTGTGGGCAGCCTGCAAAAGCCCTCAGCCGAGGCATTCACACCTTGACCTTGGCTGAATCCGTGAGCATGCAGAGTTTCAGCCGCGGGCTCGATCATTTTCTGCAGTTCAAGCTTGGGCGAAGGCAGCTTCTTCGGCCATGGAGGGCAATTTGGGCACATCTGTTCCGTGCCGCATGTGCTGCATGCAGCTTAGGTGGCAGCTTTGCGCGGCCACGGCCAAATGCTGAGAACCAGGAGGCATTGGCCGGGAGGGACCGTGCTCGAGAAAGTTTGACATGTCAAGCCGCAGGAGCACGAACTCGCAGTGCTGTGGGCCGGCCTAGATGCCATCCGTGTGCCCCCTGGGAATAAAGTCAAGGTCGAGTTTAAGTCAAGGTTTTGTAAGGGATGCTGCGTGTGTGTCAGTTCCGTCGAGTCTTTAGGCCTGGCAAGAGAGCAGTGTCTCGACCCTGGTCGACCTGCTGCACGTGAGGCGACCACAGTTGGAGTTCCGTTCTGTCTAGCTGCGGCCCTGGCCAGGACAGGGCCAGGACAGCCGACCCGCCCTTGGCTCAGATACTTACACGCGGGTTTCTGGTCTGCAACGAGTTTGACGGAAACGAGGCCAGACCCTGCCGTGTCCTTTATGCCAGTCTTCCGCAGGAGTCTCAGCATAAGGCATGTTGCAGAGGAGGTCCTTCCTTATTCATCTTATTCTCTCCCAGAGGGAGGTCCTTGAGGGCTGTTCGAAGGGAAATTGGTCCTGAGGGTGTGCTAGATCACCAGTGTAGGAACCGTCCCTCGGCCATGTCCCGTCGTGAAGCCAAGTTCTGGGTTGGAAGTTGGAGTTGGAACGTACTTGTCCTTCAAGATGACACTCCTATAGTCACTCCTGATTTATCACCAGGGACTTGCCTCGTGCGCCGATCGTTTGAGGCCGCACCGACACCTTGCAAATGGGTGCAGCTGCATCACCCTCAGATAAGACCTTGGCTGCAGCACTCTGCACTTAGCTCTCCAGGAGTGGGCTCCAGGCGGGGGCGACAAGAAAAGAACGAGGCTGTATGACAGCTGAGGAACTCGGACACGTCTTGTGGCTTCCGACCCGCTCGGTGGTGCTGCCTCTGTGTTATGAAGCATCGTTCTTCCGCTTAGACTCCGCTTTTCTGAAGGATTTGGCTTGGGCCAGGCCGCCGGGCAGGTGTGGCTTCGCCGCGCGAAGGGCCTGGTTCTTCCGACTTTCATGGGTCGCAGCCTTGGTGAACTCGTGAACTCAAACTGCGAGGTGAGCACTCCCTTGTTCCAGTTGCACTAGGCTCAACACTAGTCACTTCCTTCGTGTGCACACTAATGCCTGTGTGTGTCTGTCTGTGCACACTTTTCAATGATTCCCGTCTGTGCGTGTGGGAAGCTGGTCTGCTGGATCCTACTCAGGCCTCACCGCAAGCGAGCCGGCGCGGGGCGGCCTGGAGGCGTGCACAGAACATCCTGCAAATTTCCTTCTAAGGTGGTGAGTACAATCGGAAGAGACTGCAAATTAAGAGGATTTCATGATTCATTATTCGTTTGGTACCAGCGCTATCGCAATCAACAGTCACAAGCCCACACGACATCACGAAGCTCCCCTAGCTGCTCCTTTTTTTGGTAAGGAGCACATGCATGACCTCGGCGATATGAACGACGATGGGCAAGCAGAGAAGGTTTCGGCTCATGTTTTTTGCTGCACAGCCGCATAGCTCCAAGCTCTTGATGTTTTCAGCTAGGTTTGCTGAAAGTATCAGCGAAGAAAAGTTTATGTCTGCACGGAGGCGACGGTGCTTCCGCCACCCTCCGTGCGGTCCAGGGCTCGGTCACGGGCCGCAAAGGCGGCCCCACTGCCCACTGCTCTTTGTGGCGCAGGCAGTCTGCGCGCCCGTGCCATGTGGCAGGGGCCTCTGAGATCTGATGAAGGTGGTACTCTGCCAAAGAAAGATCTTTACACGGATCTCTGACTGATTCCCTGCAGATCGTACAGCTGATCAGGACAGGACACTCTAAGAGTCCTGATGGGGGCAGTAGGCTGTTGCGACAAGAGCCCTGGAGCCCAGAGCCCTGGAGTGCCTGAGGTGGCTGTCCCGGCAAGTGGCCAGGCCTTTCCCGAGCCTCTTTGCCTCGGCAGTGCTCTTGGCCTCCGCACACCGCAGGCTGGCGGATGGAACGAGTGCCTTCTCCTGCAGTAGGCTCAGTAGGAGTTGCTGACTTGCGACCGATGCAAGTCTTATCTTCTAAGCTGAGCTGCTTCGCGCTGTTGCACAGCACTTCCAAGGCGTGAGGCCTTCTTAACGGAGCTTGGCTGCGTCTGGGCCTTGTTCCCCGAGCAAGGGAGTCCTCGTCCTTCTTGGCGAACGGCGTTTCGGCGTTTCGGCGTTTGAGGCTCAGCCTGGCATCGAAAATCTGGCCGTGGATCGAGTGGCGGCGACTTGGCAGCTCCAAAGCGGCTTTCTGGAAATTGGTTGAACATAACAAAGAGGGTTCTGTTGCGGGGCTGCTCTTCAAACTCACTGCAAGGAGCGCCTGGTGTCTCGTCAGCTTTGGGAGGCCGTGACGGACCTCGCACAGACTCGCATTCTGTCACTGCGTCCCTTCAAAAATGTGTTTCTCTGCACATGCGTTTGCGAAGCGGATTCATGTGTTTGTTTCGCAGGTATGGCAGGAGGCAGATAAGGAACAGGATTGTGTCCCATCTAGTCTTTGTTGATCTGACTGTTTATCAGATACCTATGGATCGCAAAAAAGAAAAACTGCCAAATGCAATTCGTGTTTTGTCGCTGGCTCACCAAAGGCGCTTGCCAAGTCTCTGGAGCTTCGGAGGCACGTGGTGCGCCCAGATTCTGGCTTCGGCGGTCACAGATTCTCGCATCCTGGCTTGCCAAAATGCGTCTCACGCCTGGGATTGAGGCAGCTCGAGTTTTCCGGGAGAACCACGGCTGGCTGCCTGACTTGGAGGCCTTGTTTGCCATCAACTGGCTGTGAACTGGTCGCTGTTTGGCTGTGCAACATAGTCCATGGTCTGTCAGAGTTTTGTAATAGTTGTCGAGGTGTTGCCTGTTGTGTGACATCCCAGTGTCGCTGAAAATGAGCGTTTGTCGCTCAGGTGCAACCACGCCAAGACCAGCCAGGCACAGGCACGTCATGAGTGAGCAGGAACAACGGGAGCTGTTGCAGGCCAGGGCCAGCGCATCAACAGCTTCTTTCGCCGCGGTGCGTTCGAGCCGGTGGTCGGTGGGACTCTTGACATCTCTTGATGGTGCATGGTGAATAGATAGTCAAATCATTCTCGAGCACCACTTCAGAATGCTTCCGAACCTGTGCGACTGCAAGTTCAAGCTCATGCCTGTGCAACGAATAGGATCAGCAACACCTAGTAAGTCCTTACAAGCGGAAGTGCCGACCCTATGGAGGGGAAGGTGGACTTCCCTACGTGGACGCAGGATACTCAGCAATTGAAAGCCGCATGTCCAAGTGGGTTGCGATGTGTACTTTCTCCTTATACGCCCTGCTGTTTATCCTGGCAGCTTTGGTGCGTTCCAGCCTCGACATGCCGACTCAAACGACCACACAACTCAGTGCTTCTGCTGCTGCCGGCTGCTCCTGCTGTTGATCTTGGGCACATCACGTCCAACACTGCCAGAGGTTCTTTCGTGCTGAATGGGCGCGTTTCTCTTGAGTTGCCGTTCATGTTCGAGCAGCTTCTAATGCCGACTGTTCGTCATGCAGTATGCATTGCAGCTACTTGTAGCTAGTAAGGAGTACGAGCAGGTACCGAGTGCATGTGCAAAGTTCAACGGAGTTCCATGCCCAGCTTCGAGGCAGAGGCCAACTGCCAGTCGCTACTCGAGCTTCTCAGGCTGGCTCTGCATGTTCTCAGAAGAGGGCACTTGCTGCAGCCAACCTTAGCTCCAGCCTCAGGATTCGCTGCACGCCGGATTTTGAGAACCTGGCCGTGGCGCTGCGGATCTGGGTGGACAAGGACCTCGTAATGAAAGGTGTTCACCTTTGCCTGATTGTGCTAACACCACCCGTATCTTCTCATAGCATCGAGCTTCAGGCATAGATGAGGAACTGGGGCATTGGCCAGGAAACATATCTCTTGAAAGGAGCCGCCGGCGATGTGCGCGCCGAAAGCACTGGTAACTGCTCGCTCGGCACGCTTTTTTTGGTGCGGGAGTTTTTGGCTTCGCAGCAAAGCTGACGACTGCTCTGCGCCTCAGGCCTTGCTGCAGCGAGCCATTGCCGAGAGGCGGGACACTCCCACGAAAATCATGCAGTGTTTCTGCGAGGATGTGCAAGCCAAGCCTTGCATTCTGACGTGCAGCTGTGTCGAAGTAGTTGTGGCAAGCACAAGCTCAGCTGATAACAAGGCCAGCAGACTCTGTGCTTTCAGCTCAGTTTGTACTGCAGGTAGATGTAGTCCAGCCAGCAACTGCGCACTACTTTGCAAATGGTTTTGCAGTAGGCCTTCTCTGGTAAGCAGCCGCCATGCAGTGATTGGGAGTGTGCCAGGGAGAGCGAGCCTGAACGCAGAGTCTCCAATGTTTTGACGTTGCTTTGCTCAACGGGCTTGTGAGAGTTCCACATGCCCCACGTGAGCGTCCAGCTACGCATTGATGCCTTATGTTGCTTAACGGATTCTTTGTCATGTCCCAGTTTTTCAAGTCAAGGTTGGCCATTCTGCGCAATCTCATCTTCATCCCAGGCAAAGGCAAGATCAGTGCGCAGGAGGCAGGTTGCCTCTCTCAGCGATTTTGTGGCCGTCGCCTACCCTGTCTGATGCCAGGCAGTCTGGTCTGCTGGGACAGTAGACGGTGATTTTGCTCGCAGGGTTTGTGCACTGGATTTTCCGGCATGGTTGGTGCACTGCTGCAAAGAACCAGAAAAAGAGGGGAGAAGAAGTGACTCGTGCCAGGCCAGCACTTCGATGCTGGAGGCTGCAAGAGAACTGGGCCGGGCCTGCGGTTTGGAACCGAAGCTGCTCAGGAGATCTATGGGCAGACGCTGTCCGGTTCTCGTGCTCATACCAGGAAAAACACCGATCCCGTAGATTCGTCAAAAAGGTCGGCATGTTCTCCCATTAAGGTACCTATGCTATGTGACTATGTTGCAGATGCTAAGGCGAGGGTGGTTCTGCGAGTTTCTGACTGTCCGCGAGTCGCCTGGCATGCGGAAGACCAAGCGCTTGTGGCAGTGGCAGATTGGGAACTTTCGGGTCTGAGAACCTCCAGAGTCTGGAGGGTGTGGTCCCAAGCTTCAGGTGGCAGTTGCTGCGAGCTTTGCAGAGGCAGGGACGTGCGCCGGTTGCACGAGCTGTGGAGAGCATGTTCGAAGCCTTAGGCTGATTCCAAGCCACGCTGGGGGTGAGGGCGATGCCTTGGCTCCATCAACTAAGCCTAGCCTGAGCTTCCTTCGGCAACTTTACGCTTTGGCCTTGGACCTTGCTCGCACACTGGATACAACGACGATGCCTGCTCATGGCTTTGGAGATGAGGCTGAAATAATGATGCAGCTGGAGGAGTACATTCGCGAGTCTGTGGTGCTCTCTGGCATGGGCTTACTGCTCTGGCGGTGGTCTTGTGTTCAGGACGGAATTTGTCTCTAGAAGCTTCGTTGTCTGCAACCCTAGGCCGCAAGCTATTACTAGCTGTGCCATGTAGGCTTTAGCTTCTGAATGCACACGGCAGTTGAACCCCTGCAGTAGCGCAGCACCACAATAACAAGGACATCTGTGAGCCAGTCTTCTGGATGATGTTGAATGGGATTTATGGTCAGGGTTCCTGAACAGAGACTTCGACACACGAGTCAGTCTTGTGCTTCAGGTTTACCCATCTATCATATCTCTCTTCCATCCAGTATCTCGAGCACGATCCAACCAGAAACTTACAAACCCGATAAAGCCACGAGCGAATGCAATGCATCACTTGCAATCCTCGATCTCGAACCGTGATTCAGCGGCATTTTGCCTCCTCTCTCCCTCTTACTACTTACTTCTGATTCGGTGCTCAGCGGCACACCATTACAGGTGCACAGTCGTGAGCACTTCAAAATCAGTGCCGTAGCCGCAGACCTGCAACGACAGCCTTTTTGCTATGCTTTCGCAAACAAGCAACAACATGGGTGGCACAGCCAATTCATCAAGGCTTTGCACACCTGCCCGAACATCAACACAGCGCTGTAGGCATCACTCAGGCTGAGGTGATCTGAGGCGCTCATGCTTAGGAACATCTTTTTTTGAGTGTGCTCCACCCGCAAAGCCATGAACATGTAGCCATGGCACAGGCTCAAGAGACTTCTTCTGAACGAAAGGGGAGAAACAAGTCGACCGAATGATCAGATCATATGAAATTACTTAGTCCATCTCCGTGGGCGTCCTCGGCGACGTCTCCAGACATTGTGCAACTCAGTGACTCTTCGAAGCGCAAAGGCAACCTGTGGCACTGGTGAGGATCCCTGGTGTCCGTATGGCCAGGCACCGCATGACAGCTTGAACTTATGAGCGGCATCTCGCTCCCTACTGCAACGGAATGTATACCCAATCTTTCGCTGAACATCTCTTCCCTCTGCAAACGTATGTCGCAAAGGAGTGAACCTAGCAAACGCCAACCTCAAGAGACCTGAAAAAGTCCAAAGACCCGAGGCGGCGCATGCCAACAAACGAACCGGCAGCAAATACTTTCAGGTGAAGGGCACAGGCCGGTAAGAACCGAACATATAGTGGTTCTTCCATTTCCGCCCAGTCGTCGTATCGCACGACGAAGCAAATACGACGAGTCTGAAGCCCACTTGGAAGCACCGTCCAAGCATGCTGGAGGCAGCGCAGCTGCGCAAGCACGTATCTGATATATCCGTGATATGAGCATCGCGCATCCTTAGGTTCAGTGGATTGTGCAGACATCGCAACATATCAATGCTTACGTAAATCGTCCTGATGCAGCTGAATGCTTGCTGCACTTGTATCTGGAAGCTTAGACAACTCTTTTGCTGAGACACCTGTGCCAGGTCAACGACGGTCAGCAGAGCCGGCTGAAGCGGCGACGCACGGAGGACGGTGCGAAGCCAAGCACATCCGCTTCAAGAGTCGTCAACGTCCATACTGGGGCCTGGGAGCTTTATCCCGGAAACGAGTATTCGCATCGTGCAAAGGTCATTCATTGATAGAGACGGTGGAGTCCAAGTTTCAGTCGCGACGGCTGCTCGGCAGTTTTTGATTAATGGCGTGAGTTGGTTTCAAACTGCTGCTTCGTGGGACAGGCTGATCATACTGCCACAGACGCGAAACCGGTGGGACCCTTCCTAGTCATGACTTGCTCCGTGTGCGTGCTGAGTGCTGAGATTCTCTTGCAGGCCTTGGAAGTTCCTCGCAACCTCACAGGCCTACTGGTCAGCCTGGCACCCAGTGGAGCGTAAGAGCCAAGAAGTGCGACACGACTTCAGCACAACAGAAATGCCCGGTAGATTTCGCTGTGGTCGAGTGAAGAATCAGAAGGTCATGCGGTTACCCACAGCATTAGTCACTTCGGCATGGTTGGGTGACGCACCCGATTGGCAGTACGTTAAGGTCGATGATGAACTCTCTGAGCTGTCCGGTGCCTAGCTGATGGAATGCATCTGATGGATGAACACCGTTCAAGCAAGACCAGTGCATCAGGCCATGCAGCCAGTTCGCGTTGAAGAATTTCTATGGAGTCCAGGTCAAAACGTCACGCCCCTGGATGCAGACGCACAACATGATCAATATCACGCTGTGGAAGCGAGCTTCGGCTCTTCGGCTTATGTGCCCAACTGCTGAATGCGGGCGACATAGATCACATAGATCCGAACTTGCAGGCGCAGCGAGGAGTGTGGAACAGGCACAGCAGCTTTCTGGCAACTCCCTGAACCCTGGAATTCCTCTCCAGCCGAAGCGTGGAGGTCTGGCAATCATAGACTTGAAAGACTTTTTTGTCCAGGTGGGTCTGCATGAGAGAAGGAGGGAGGGACAGGACAGTGCACTGCAGTCTTCCCCAGGTCCTCGGAGTCAAAGAGGTGCTGACACGGGAGGAGTGAGCAGAGACACAGCACTGCTCTTGCTTTGCTCACCGTCGCTTCGAGGAGCTGGCTCGGCGACTGCAGCCTGCAGACAGGCCAGAAGCATCCGGAGCCCACAACGACGCAGCGATTTAGCAACTATCAGGCCGCAGCGTCCACCACAGGCCTGCGGAATTGCTGGGGGGGAGTGATGTGAGGCTCGTGAGCTTGAGTCGGACGTACTCAAAGTGCTTCGCCGTTTGCAGCTTCGACCTGACCGAGCTGCGGCCGCTGGGGAGGTGATGGATTTTTCCTACTTGCCGATGTTCGTTTTGGTATTGTTTTCATTAGTTACCGTTGGTTGCTATGTAGGCAGAAACGTTGCCAGGCTGCGAATGCCAACATGGATGCAGACTCTGATGACAGCAGTGAGGCACCGTGTCTTGTGAAGTTGCTGCGCCGTTCGGTCGGCCGAAGTGTGTGAGCATCACATCATCCGAATGCTTTGTCAGCACTTCCGAACATTTGATAGATGGTCCGGTCAGTGATTACCTTCGAAGGTTGCTTTCGTAGAGCACAGAAGCTTGACGAAGTGTGCACATGCCCTGACCTCGAGAGGACGACACCGGAGTTCCCGAGGTGCAGAGCCATTGGATGTATTGCGAACACCATGGCTGTAACGTCGCACCCGAGAGGATGATGGAGCCTTGGACCTGGAGGTCTTTTAGAAGCCCGGGCTCAGATCAGAGACTCTGCTGTTTGCTTGTTGGAGGATCTTCTGGGCGACGAAGCTGGAGCTCTTAGCATCTTGCCGGAAGCTGAGAGATCGTCCCCGCAAGCAAGCCCACAGCAAATCAAATCGGGGGTTGCCAAGGCAAGAAGGTAGATAAAGATATGAATAAGCCTGTGATTATGCCAATCTGCTAATCTGCGAGTGTGCGAATCTGCTAACGCCAATGCAAAGAATATTCGGTTCATGCTTCTAGATCAGACCATGCATCCTTCTTCTCTGTATATACTGCGAAACCGGCAGAATGTAAATGTTATGCTATGTGAAAAGTTATTTCTTTTGGTAGTTGGTTAGCTTACAACTCAGGCTCCAGATAAACGTAACCGTTTTGAAGGTGTTCTGTTAATCTTCATACGTCACTTAGCAATCCAATTGGTTGTGTCTTTGCAACTCGCTAAACTAACTCATGTAGGATCGCCGTGCCAATGCAAAAGTATGATAGCAATTCAAGATGCATACCATGTAACTTGATATAGAGAAGTATTCAGTTGTTTTTTGTGAAGCCTACGCAGTCGTTTCTTTGTTATTCTCTAATTGAATCATTGGTTCAAGTCGCCCTTGCTGGAACTAGCCCCTGCAGAAGTCATGTTAGGACCAGATCGCGGTCGTGTAAATTGCTGGGTGGTTCTAGATGCTTGCAGGTCTTCAATACTAGGGGAAAGGATAAATGCCGATGTAAGGAACTTCTTGGTTCATGGCTCTCGTAGACACCATGCTTTAAAAATCTTGTTACGACGCTATTTAATGTAAGTCCCTGCTGTTTGAATCAGTCATATAATCAACTCAGCTGGTTGGCGTTGTATTACATCACATCGTGCAAGAAAAATCAGTTTTAACTGTTTTGACGATGTCGAACACTTCATCACATTGCTACGTATGTATACGGGTCAGATGTGTGGCTTTCCCGGTTCACCAAGGCAGCGAAATTCTCATGACAGGTGATACGGGGCCAACGGACACATACATTCACACATACATACACGCATACATGTATATGACTATGTATACATGCATACATATAGACGTACACATACATACATCCATACGGATACAGATGCATCTACACTTACACCTAACCCGACACCTACAACTACACGCGCATTCATTCATGTTCGCGTAAATAGTGTGTACATTTGTATATACATACGCATGCATCTCTGTCTGTTCTCTCTTCTCTCTCTCTCTCTCCCCTCCCTCTCCGTCTTGTGTGGCCTTGCGCGAGTGTCGTGGTTGTGCCGTGCACGTGCAATCTGTGCCTTTCTGAGGCCGCCGGGGGCCGCGCGAGGAGGCCGTCGGGGCGAAGCTTCGCGGAGGCAGCGCCAAAGACATCCAAAGACGAATGAAGGGATGCCGAGATTGTGGAACACAAGTTCCTACTATTGGGTGCGTCGGAGCACTCTGGAACCCCCGCCAGGTCGGCAGCGGCACCTGATGTTCGGACCTCAGTTCGAGAACATACTTTACTTGTTTAACTCAGAGAGCGATCAGAGAGCGATGGATCCAGTTTTCACTGAACACTGGCTGTGCCAGGCGCATGATATGGATGTCGATGACCGGAGCTTGGTATGGTGTTTTTTGCTAGTGAGTTGCCACGGCTCCACGTGAGCTCCACGTAGCTAAGAGGCTGCAGCGATGCGAAGCCTCCTGACCCGCTGCTGCCAACGCACTCGTGCGGCGCAGCCTGCGGAAGCCCGGCCCACACAGCATCGAGAGATGTCCAGAGTGCAAGCTTCTTGAGAGAAGAGGTGCTCTACTCCGGCCCGGGTGCTGGGCAGCAGGCATCTGCCACCGCAGAGGCCACCCGGAGAAAGGTTTGAGACAAATGATGAATGAAGCCAGCAATGCTAGATTTTGAGGTGCAGGATGAGCTCGGCAGCCTAATGATATCTTCCGATAACAACATACAGCAGCTAAATGTCTTCAAGTTGCAGACAGTCGCAACAGATGCGAAATTGCAGTTTAACACCTTCACTCCCTGCTGGGGGCTACAAGTATGTCGCCAGATCAAGGGGACGGTAATTTTAGTTGGACTTGGTTGAAGGTGTTCCCGATGAAAGGCAGTAATGTGGCTTCGTGCAGGCGTCCCTTGCGGAGTAAGTAACCTTCACGGGAGATCATGCGGGCAACGCTTTAGGTCAGTCGTGGGCTGTCTTGCCAAGCGTGCTTCCAGCCCTTGCTAGATTGCCCCTGCTTCTGGCATAAGTAAGGGTCGGAGTCGGACTCAAGTGATGCCGGATCCTCGAACAGGATGAGAAAAGTCACGACAAACCCGTGATTTTGCAAAGAGCGACTCTCCCTCCAATGCAGCTCACCTGCTCGCCAGCATGTAGCACGGCGCGCATGGCACGCACGGCACTCACGGCACACACGCATGCACTCACTTACTTACCCACTTGAAGAAGCTGAACGTAAGGAGACGAGGTTTCGGGTCCGATTGCCGTCGGTGTTATGCAAGCCCCTGCAACCTCATGCAGCCACATTACAAAGTTCCTTTGTTTGCTCTGCTAGCCTCTTACTCCGTAGCCCAACGCAATACGGAGTCAGGTGTAAAATCCGAGTCGGGCGGATGAATGTGGATCGCTAACTGGCCTCGCATGCCTCGCTATGCTCCATATGACCAGACTAGAGGGTTTTGGCCTTCTCAAGCTCATGTTCTAAGTAAAGCTAGCGCTTCAGTAAAAATTCTGCTTCGGAGTTCCGGGTCGAGATTTTTGGTGGGGGTTGCGAGTCCGACATCGTGTCGATGCGGACAAAGTTCCAATGGCCGCGTTGTAAATTTCGTTCTTTGTCCGAGTGCTGCTCGTTCAGCCACAGGCTCGCCGGTCACATGTTGTATCTGTCACGACCCTGCAATCCTTGACAGCGATATGCAACTCGAAACCTACACTAGGCTGAACCTGTAGCTTCAGACAGCCTCGTGGCCGTTTTGGGACGAGCTTGCAGAACAGCTACTTTAGCGTTTTGAGGTGTCTTTCATGCGTCCTTCCGCTCGAGAGTGCATGGAGTGGCCAAACCTCGCTGCAGGTGTCTCTTCGGCGGATGAGCTGGTCGGCATACTCTGATTGGCGAAGCTTTCACGAAGCCTGCCGGTGGTGTTGCTCAGGTCCTACCGTGGTGCCAGCCTATATGCCTGCGGCCCTCCGAGTCTGATGGCCAATGTGGAGGTGCACGGCTTAGCTGAGGCATGCTCAAGCTCTGTGACGGTCACATGAGAGGCCCTGCAGAATCTGGGCATCACAATAGCAGGCCGCCAGGCTCGCTCTCTGCTTTTTCGGCGACCGTGCTTCAGCATGACCTGAGAAGCGTTGGCAAGGCCGCCCATCCGAAGGGAAGCTTGCTGCCATCTTCAGGCCATCTGTTCGTCACTAGGCGTGACCGACTGGAAGTTTTGTGCAGGATTGCAAAGTCGTTTCAGTGGCTTTGTCGACGCCGTACTCTTGCCTCTGGCATCCTTCTTCCAGGAGTGCGGCCGCATGCATCTCACAACCACGGCAGAAGTGCAGCATTTGTTAAACGTGGCTCGCTTTCGAATGTGCTCGGCTTGAGGGACTTGTCAGGGAGATTCAGGGAGTATGAGGGACGCTGACGGTCCGAGATCAGATCCGCAGGTTCCAATCGGAAGCCTTGCGGCCGCAGTCGGGCCTGGCATTGGCGCTGCCCTTTGTCGAACATCTGCAAGAAGTGGACATCATCTTCACAGCACATCCTGTGTGCCTACATCTCCGACACTTGGACACTTGGCCAAGGTCGGGGAAGAAACATGCACGGTACCCAGCCATGTCCAGCCTGTGGTGCGACTTTCTGCTTCTGACATGCTTCGTTCTAAGGCATGGCCTGATCTGCTTCAGCCTTCCCGACGGCGTTGCTGCTTCGCGGCCTCGCGCTTGCAATCGGGAAAGGTCTTCGACATCTTCCGTGACATTAAAAGTTGGGCACATGTAGAAGTCATGTGCACCTGTCAAGGCCGGCCGACCTCTGCCGGTGGTACTGCGAGATGTGCCTAATCATTTATTTCTCATCGGCCGAGCACCACGTGGAGAAATGAATCTGCAAAGGTGCCGCTTGTTGGCCGGCGACCACGCAGGGGACTTCAGCGCAGCAGAGGCATCCAGCTCCGTTGCGTTTGTTTGCATTGCCGATTATAAAAATTTTGGTCGGACTTTGCCGTCAATTACAATGTGTAAACGAAGTTGAGTAAGCCAACCATCTAGCTCAACTGTAAAGCAACGATGGCAACCTTTGCTATTTCACCGCACACGTAAATGTTGACCCGATATTCCTCATGAAACTCTTGCAGGCTTTCAAGCATTCCTCAGTAAAAGACATCCCACGCCTGTTCAATTACTGATACTAATGATTACTGGTAATGAATCACTGAAGTCATGTTAACTACCAGGGTAGATAATCATACGAGACGTAGGAGCTAAGCCTTACGAGATTACCACTGGTTTGATTGAGAAGGAGACTGTGATGACGCAGTCATGGGTAGCATCAGCATTACGTTTGTCAATCGTAGAGATCTCTTTGCATCCAGCGTGCCGCTGCCACTACCGTTGCGGCCCAGTCGAGTCTCAAATCACAGCCTGAAGCCGTGCCAAGCAATCGGACGGTCGGACTTGAAAGGATGCTAAGAACAGAAAGCTCTAGGAGCCCTGCCCGCGCATTGTCTGAAACATCATCCGGAGACTAGTTCACTTACACTCGTATAAACGTGGGCACAGGTCACGAATGTGGAAGCATGAAACATCTTATTGTTTTGTCAGCATGGAATGTTCATTGCATGCCTAGTAGCTCACACACTGAATGCGCAGCAAATAGCTGCTAGCGTAGCTAGGACAAGCTCCTTTTCTCTAATGCGTGACCGTAAGCGGTAATGAAATAACACGCGAAGATGCAAACAAACAAGCAAGCACCGACTATACACTAGTGGAGAATTGGAAACAGAAGGGAAATACGGTGTATCTATAATATTGAACGGCAAGCAAAATGGTTCGATCCTCAGTCAATTGCATATTAGGCGTCATGATTCCACCCCCGCCGAAGCAGTAAGAACATCGTTCATCGAACTGGACATCCAATTAAACAGGATCAGTCACCGAAAGTTGACAGATTGTTTTGCAGGATATGTTGAACAGCCGCCAGGTGTCCTCTGCTCTCACCGCCCAGCACATGCCCAAGTTCCTTCAGTTCCAGGCCGTCTGTCGAATTATCGTCTTGGCGGGCGAATGATTTGGGACATACCCGGGCCTTCCGACTGACTTCGGGAAACCGAGAGGTTAATGCGAGCACAAGGCAGCCTCAGCTTCTGAGTACCCCAGAGCAGCATCACACCTTCGGAACAGTTCCTATTCAAGCCGGGCCAGAGAGCGACTACCCCAGCATTCAGTGGCAGCGGCAGTGTGAGTGAAGCGGCAGAACAGAAGACCTGCAGCAACAGACAGTGAGCAGGTACAAATGGACCATTTATCTCAAGAACACTGGTAGTTTTCGAGCATGCCTGAAGTAGAAGGCCTTACGGTATCTGTGCTCTTCTGCAGAAGACAGTGCAGGCGTCGATGAGAAGGCGCAGGTGACGAGCGAGACTCACGTCGGCGAGGCAGTGTAGCTTGGCACCTTGAAGCAAAGTTCTTTAAGGGTTTCCCCACAGGTGCGAGTTCCAAGTCTCTGATCTGGAGACCTCGAGATCCAACGATCTCCAGCGGCAGGCCTGACATCTGACGAGACTGGTGACCGTGTTCATGCCGAAACGCTTGTGTTGCATGGCCCGGAAACGTGGTTGCTCCAAACAAACATGATTTGACTGCAGCGTTGAAGCTGGAAGCAAGCAGAGTGATCTTGCATGCCAAAACTGTGCTACAACGTAAAGATTGAGAATACGATACTCTACAATGCTTAGTTGATAGCACTGAGGCCTTAGCCCGGATGCAAGACCCAGAACCCCATGGACACCCTCTTGCATGGTAGTCTGCGGCCAAGACGCCAAGCCGCAATGAGATGAAGGGCTTCGTAGTGTTGGCGTTTGTGGCCGGCTTTGTGCTGGCAAGCGGCCGAGCTCCAAGAGCAGTTTTGGAGGCATCCTTCAAGGAACGAATCCAAGAGGTTCTGAATGGCTCGGCGACATCGGCTGCAGAACACCTGGCCATGCGCTTGGACTCGAAGCCGGGCCACCTGTTCGCTGGGTACGAGGTCGAGTTTGGGAAGTCCGGTCCGGACAGGCATGTCCAGTGTCTTGGATGTTCTCATGCATCCATTAATCGAGCATCCTGAATCCCCGAAACAGCTCGAACTGAGAACATCCAGATACGTAGTATTTTGCGAATATCCTTGAACTCACAATCACTTTAAACACAGGCGAATCCCGTGTGAAATGCAACTAAAGTCGCAAAATAACATTATATCGTAAACCCGAACACATAAATATCAATAATCACCGACTAACCCGATGGACTTGTGAGTGGATGCAGGCATGTCGAGTGGCTTCATGGCTGTCTGGACGTCGTGACTTCGCGAGATTCAATTGAGAACTGTATCTTGCGTCAGCTGCAGGCACTAACTGCTCTTTGTGACTTGCAGGGATTGAGGTACAATGAGCAGGTCAGGAAGATTGCAGAAAGACATCTGGTGCTCCTCAAGGAGCAGAAGCTGGCGCTGCTTGGCATGAACGTGCAGAAGGTCTCTGGGGCATCAATCCTCGTGGTCCAAAAGCAGCCGGCGAACTCGGCCGATGTCGATGCTAGCCCGGCAGTGCAGGCAAGCGCACTAATGGCGCTTGTACGCTGCGGTGAGGCAGTTGGCAGCAAGGAACACCTGAATGATGCAGAGGCATGGTTCCAGGGTCTCAACATGATCTATGCAGAGAGCGTTTGGAACAAGTCGTTCACGACGTTTCATCGCGCAGCTATCACTTGGGAATCGCTCGCTGTTACAGCTTTGCATATTCCAAAGCATTCCAGCTTTCGAGATCAGCTGGAAGAGTACATCCGTGATTTCGAGGCCTTCCTACGACAAGCTTGGGAAGCACATGTTGACTTTTGGTCTTTCTCCTCTGCTCGCGCACTGGCAGTAAGATGGTCTTCCAAGGGTCTCCGAAAGCAACAGCGAAAGCTCTTGAAGCGTTGGGCACAGGAGCACGTGGATCGCTTTCTGGGCAGAAGTGGAAGTGGGATCAAAGCCGGGCCTGAAGGAGTCTCGGAGGGCATCCTGGCACGGATCGGCGGCAACCGTTACACCTGTGGCCCACTACAGGGTTTGGCCTCGCTCGCCGGGATACTGAAGGATGCCGAGTTGATTCAGGTCGTGTTGCAGCTCATGGAGAAGGATATCCTTCGTTACCAACTCTCAGAGTCGAACCCTGGCCCCTTTCGCTCTGCGCCACCCGAGCTGTTTGGAGCTTTTTTCCGCGACGGCGAGCAAATGGAGCTGGAAGCGAGACAGAGCCTGCGCGTGGATGACACGGCGATGTGTCTCATCGCTATCTCTCATCTCATCGAGACCTTGCAGAGCATCAGAGGAGTTAATGTCGACGTTCCATCATCTGAGCAAGGTGAGCTGTGAGCGAAAAACCGGGCTAGCAACTTTCCTTTGCCTCGGCTTTCTGCTCCCCTCCGCCGCCTTTGCCCCTCTGTTTGAGGAGCTCCGGCATGAGGCGTGCTTCCTGGCTAGTGCGCCACTCCCTCAGCGCATCTCCGCATAGCTCGGTCGTCGGCCAGCTGGGTTCCCAGCCTTGCTGCTTTTGTGGAAGTCCGGTGCTTGCCGACGGAGTATTTCAGCTCAAGCTCGTCGTGGAAGTTCGGAATATCATTCAAGTTCAAGAAGCAACATGTACAGGATCAACATCGAAAAACTTGGTGATGTTGTGGCGGCTGGAAGTTTTGCAGCCCTACCTACGACCGCCGATGGCATAGAGGCTAGGCAGAACGGCCATGAGCAGTTGCAATGATGCGGCATCGCCACCCGCCATCAATAGATTTCATCTCGCCGTTGGAAGCTCAAAACTTGCAGTGTGCTGCGTCACAAGGACAGCAGCCGAATCGGCTTTTCAAGCTGTAGTGTTTGATCTGGATGGGACTCTGGTGGACACCGAGATGGTGGCTTGCTCGAGCTTTGGAGTGTTTGTGTTCAAGATGTGAAGATCACTAGCTGTGTCCCAAGCTCCTTTGCTCAAGCGAGGCGACCTGTGCATGGATCGCAGAGCTTTTCCAACCATATGGCTTAAGTTGGACTCCTGAACTTCACAGACAGATCGCAGGCGGATGGTCGAGCAAGGTCAGAGCATGGTGTGAGCATCCCGCCCGAGCAGGCACCGTGGGCTTCTTCCCACAGAAATGCCTCGATCTCCTGCAGGCAACGGGCACGATGCTCTGGAACTGTTGTGACTCAGTGCAGAGTCCGAGGTATCTCCGGGAAGAAGAGACGAACTCGTGGCCGTCTTGCCTGAGAGGATAACGTCCGCAGCGTACCCTGTTCTCATCCGTTTTGAACCACAGCCACCAAAGGCCGAGTACATCGCATGCCTGGAGTCCGAGGTACAACAAGTTCCTGGCACAGCGTGACTTAGCGATTGAACGAAGACCTTTGTTCGAGATCTGGGATTCGAGCTCTTTAATAGAGCACCATTGCCAGGGATCAACTGCAGGCTGCAGCATGCCTGCCATGCTCGTAAGGTATGGAAATCAAGCCTGGTGCTGCTGCTGTCGTGCGACGCCTGCAGTCCATGCGGATCTCGCTTGGTCTCTGCACCAGTCGCCGAGGCGAGGTGTGCCGCAGAAACAGCATTGCGCAGGGGCATGGGGCGTAGTTAAAAGGCAGACGGCGCGGCGCGTGTGAGATCCCTCTGCGGTAGGATCGCTACGCGGTGCACGCGACGCATCGCGCGATGCATTGCGCCCGGTCCCTCGGCTCGGCCAGTCGTCAGGCGATGGAGTGGAGTCCTTGTTGCAGGAGAGATCGGACCTGCAGGCTCTGCTTGAGCCGCTTGAGGTGCGGGTACTGGGGGCTCTCTCTATTGCAGCGTCCTATCTCGTTTCTTTTTTCTGCCCCTCTGCTTCTCTCTGTTCTCTCTCTCTCTCTCTGCTCTACTCTCGCTCTCACCCTCTCTCGCCCTGCTCTGTCTTTTTCCAGAACTTTCCGCGCAGTTCGTGACTTGAAGCCTGCGAGGTGCGTCTGGTTGGGTCAGTTGACCCTCGCACTGGCGT